AATCCACACCAAATATTCCCAATACAATTAAATATCACAAAATAAACCCATTATTTAGAACGAAAAAAACAAAAAAATACCAAAATCTTTTATCACAATGCAAAATCAAGCTACACTCGTTGGTTAACAACCAATTCGATCGAATCATCACCAGCTATGTCCTTATGACTTCAAAAAACTCATCAATACGATTGATAATCCATTTTATAGTTCCATGATTTCATCAATTTGATAATCCATGACAATAATAGGTCTAAATCTATCATAGAGGTTAGGAGTTGACCATCACATAATGTGAGAATCTATGTGTTACGTGTTATCCGGGATAAAATGTGACAAATTAAATAGTTTAAACATAAAAATATTTGGGAGAATTACACGTAATTACAACCCATAGTCATGTGTTGCAATCTAATAGCCAGTCATAACTTTACAAATATGTAGCCCAAAAATAATAAGCTGAAGTTTGAAAAAAAAGTATTTTCTGGGTTTTTTATTCAGCAGAGGAGTTTCATTAGGACTATTATCTTATTCAAATGAAGTCTTGGAATTTTCTGATTATTACATTATCTGATTTTGATCTTTCTCCCCCAATTTATCTTTAGCGATCTCTCCTATTATATCATCCTAAAATCAAAACATAAAATTGCACGACTTGCTTGCAAAAATTATAATTATATAATTACAATAAAGAGTTTGAGCTAAAATAGGCTACGCATAATTGTAAAAAAATTATCATAAATAGTGACCATAAAGAAGTATGTAACATTTCCCAAAGGATTCTTCCTAAAAAAAATGGTAAACAAGATAAAGAACCAAGTAGCTTACATTTTTTCAATTTCGTTGATTAAGCTTATATGGTAAAATTGAAAAGCAATTGCTGCAAGTTCGTGATTTGGCGGATAAATCAACAAGAAAGGTAGATTTATACATGAATTGTTCTAAAAAGAAAGAAAACGTGAAACAAAATTTAATTTCATTATACATGTGCAATATATGTATAATGATGTATAACTGTGTATAAATTTTATATCGAATGCATAATAATGTATATCAAAAAATAAGAGAAAGAAGAAGAAGAGAAGTGTCAAACTTCGGTGGAGGCTTCTTATATAATGACAATGTATATATACGATAGGCGGAGCTAAGATTTGAATCTTATGGGTTCTAGTATAATCCTTTTAAATTATTGGGTTCTAAATTAATAAGTTGTACATATTTATTAGATTTCTTAATACAAATACAGGGTTTGAACAAAAGCTATTGGGTTCGGCAGAACCCGCAACCCATACTGTGGCTTCACCCTTGACTATATATCCTTATACATTGAGAAATAAATAATTTTGTAATGTTATAAACATATACACATTTATATATAAATATACACATTTATAAACAATGTATAAGTATGTATGGAGTGGTTATACAATATTTACACCAGAAAACATCTTGTGTTCACAATTACACCTCTATTTCAGCACCAAATATCAAAAGAGAGTTTTTCAAAGGAAGTGAGATCTAAAAATTAAAGAGGAGAGAAGATGGAGATGGATTTTTTTTATTTTATAAAAGAAGATAAATAACTTGAATATCATTTGAATAACTTGAAAATTGTCTGAATGATACACCAGAACAAATCATTTGCTAAAACACAAAAATGGTTCAACTTTAAATGGATTCTTTTTCGGCAGAACAAAATAGCATAAAGTGGGTAAAATGACTATTCACCACCAGATATTCATTCTCCGATGACCTCGTTAACTTTGGTGTTGACCTCTTTACCTTGAAAATTGAAGGGAAAAAATGGGTAAAGAAGATTATCCACCGCAGAAGATTTATTTTTCGATGACATCGTTAACTTTGCCGGTGACCTCTTGATTGACTTCGTCATTGACATCTTCACTCTGAAAGTTGAAAAAATAAAAGAAAATGGATAAAGAAGATTGTCCAGCTCTCTTTTTCACGCTAGGTTAACAGATATAATTTTTTTTTTTTACACATTATATAACTATGTCGAGTAAAATTTTAAAAATGGGCTCTTTTTGGTTGTGAGATTGGGCCGACTAACATAGGATGTTATTATTTTTTGTTCAAATACATACGCGGTCCCTTACAGTTGGCACGAATTTTCATTTAGACACTTAAACTAAGGCCTCATTTATTTGCACTTAATGGAGGTCTAAATCTTAATCATTCAGATCTCAGACATTAAGTGCATTTATTTTTTAAATCTGAATCTTAATTATTCATATCTTAATCATTAAGTGTATTTATTTTTTTCACTTCAGAACCCCTTAATGGGTCTGAATAGGTTTGTATGATTAAGATACATAACAAAAACTTAATTTTATTAAAATGCTATCATCCATATTCATTATTAATTGTCGCCACCGCCAACCATTATCAACTATCATCATGCAGCCACTACTGCCACCATACTCAACCACCGCCACCACCATACTCAACCACTACCACCATAATCGACTACCACCATCCGTTATTCCCACCACTCCCACCACCATCATTCTCAACCACAAATAACACTCATCCACCTCAACTACCACAACTAACCACCCCATCACCGTCAACAACCATAATCGGCACTGCACATCATTATAAACTGCCACCACCCACCATCACCTTCCTCAATCATAATTATCATCCACCACCCACCATTATTAACTATCACCACTCACCACCACCATCCTCAATCATAATTGCCACTACTACTAATCATCATTAGCTACCACCGCCATCAACAAACCTAACACCAATCACTGCCTATAGTCGGCATTCATAATCACCACCAGCAACTACTATATTATAAAAAATTTATATATTTTATTGATAGAATATTAGATCAGTTAATATTTTATTAAAATTTTATGTTTATTAATTTTCAAATAAAGATAAATTTTATACATTCAAATATTAAAAATCAAACAGTCTTAATCATTTAGTATTCAGATCTTAATACATTTCTTAATATTCAGATGTGTATTCAGATTCAGATATCTTAATACACATCTTGATATTCAAATGTGTATTTAGTTTCATACGTCTTAATCTTAAAAAAAACAAATGAGGCCTAAGATTTGTTCCTATTAGACACTCCAACCTCAATAAAATGTACCTATCAAACACAATGGGCTGGCATGGCCACAGAAGTGTTTCTCATGTTGTTTGGGCGCATGAACTGGTCTAAAATTATATTTTTTCTTTTTTTAAAAAATCACTTTTTCTAAGAACCATTGCCACCATTCTTGTCATCTTCTCTCCTCATCGGCGACGGCGATTCGAAATCCTATTTCCGCTCAGACCAAGACTATCCAGCTTGCATTATTTGAAAAATATGGCATAAAGTCTCACTTCTCAAGTTTTTCAAATTTACTGCATCAGAAGGAGTCCCTCCGTCTTCTTCAGTGGTTTTGGTCAGTTTTTGATTGAGCATGATTCCGGGAACAATTCATCGAAAATAAGACTCAATCAATCGGATATATCAATATTTACATTTCAGAAAAAAATATGTACATTTACACACTATTTAATTGCAAAAATGAGGAAGGCCACTAGATTTAGAAGATAGATTATGGATTTGGTATAGTGGTAACGTAGGTTAAAGAGGGATCAATGTATTCCAAAAGCTTTTGAAGCTGAGAATCGCCCATTTTGCTCTTACTTCAACCTTAGTAAAGTAGCTTAGATTGAACTGAAGCGATGAAAAAAAAAGATTGAAAGAGTGACAGCATTGGTGGGAGTGGGGCGGGCAATGAAGACGATGAAGGGGGAGGGATATTTACGTTAAAATAGTTTTCTGTTTCTTTTTGGCTCAAAATCCTTTTTTTTTTTTTTTTTTTTTTTTTTTTTTTTTTTTTTTTTTATATTTTAACCTAGAACGCCATGTGTCTTTGTTTAATTCGCTAATTTGCCACATCATCCGCGTGTGCATTACACACACTTCATTTGTTTGATTGGTTATCTGCGAAGGGCTTAATAGATACATTTTAGAAGTACTTTAAGTGTCTAATGGGAACAAGCCTTAGTTTAGATGTCTAAATTAAAATCCATGACAACTTTAATGGGCTGTGTATGTATTTGGCCTTTTTTTTTTTTTTTTTTGTAAAGTAAGTAATTCATATATAACAATCTCTTTATTATTGATGCATAAACAATCTTTACATAATAATTTCACTTAATTAGTAACTGAATCAAAATTATTTAGCATCTTATAGCAGCTTATACTTCTGTTCAGCTTTGATAGGTTATTCATCGGATAATGTACAATCCAAACTAATTAATAGTTTGTTTGGATGACTATTATGTATTATATGGTATTGTTACTATAAATATACGAATGTTTATATAAATAATCGGTCATATTAATTGTTTATTTTTTCTAACCATATACACAGACTATTCATTGATTATACATAATTATATTGGTATAATACATAAAGTATGCATATATTATACATTCACCGGCTATTTTTAATTTAAGTGATTGAGTGGACGTCTATTTGGGTTAATTCTTCTTAAATACAATATTTGTTTTGATTGTTACTTAAATTTTATCGTATCATATATGATGAAAAGTGCCAAATCATGTAACATCATATTTGGTATGGTCATTTCGTTATCTTATTTTTTTTCTTATCTTGTCATTAATTCCTTATTATTAAATAATCATATTTTATTCTTTACCCTGCATTTTTTATATAGTAATTTATGCCGTACCTAATTTTTGTGTATTACATTATAAGTTTATTCTTTATATTGTTAATGGTACGAAAACCAATAAACATTTATTAATTAAAATATAATAATACAATATAATGCTCTTTATACTGTTGATGTCATGAAAAACAATAAACATTTACATTAAAATATAATAATACAATATAATGCATTGGATACGTAACAACCATACAAACAAGCTATAAGTTAACGTCTCATTTAATTACAGAATCAAATACTAGCAATTTAGCAAATAGAGCAATGATCAAATGTTGTTTCGTTCCTTCACCGAGAATAAAACGGAAACGGAGCGCGTAAACGTGTCCGCCCCACAGGCCCAACACAACGTTGTAATAAAACGGAATCACAGTGGGCAAGGGTTTTTTACCCGTTAAAAACCTAACGTCGATTTATCCTACTTTCTTCCGGAGAAGCTCACTCACTCTCTTACAAATTACTGCTATAATTTCTCTTGTTGTGTATAGCAGCAGCACATCACACGAAAATAAAATGTTCTGTCGATCGTGTTAGGGTTTTTTGTGGTGGCGCGTGTGTGAATTCAGCATGGCTACCACCAGTCAGGCGATCCGTTATCCAGTTGCAACCACCGGTGCCGGAAATATTGATGCTCTCAATAGAGTTCTTGCTGACCTCTGCACCAGAGGCAATCCTAAGGTTCTTTCAAATTCTCTTTTTTTGGAGTTATTTGCTAAATTCGTTCTTTAACTTAATTTTCGTTTTGCCATTCTCTTTTAAGTTGCTGTGTATTTTTTTTTTATTTGTGCTGTTACATTTGACTGAATTGTGAGTAAGTGTGACCAGACATACATCTAGTGCTCTGATTTCGATTGTATGATGAATTGAGGATAAAAAGAGGACACAAGATATGCCATAACAAAATCTTGGACACAGTTATTGTTATTATTATAGATTTTTATGAGTAACTTCATCCAAGATTTTAGCTCATGGCATATCTTGCGTTTTTTTGAAATGGTCATAAACAGCACTAACAATGTGCTGGAATTATGTACATTAAGTATAATCCTATCTAAATCCATAGGAGCTCTAAGATAGATTCAGCTTCATTTGCAAGTTCCATTCCACACTAGAAGTAAAACAAAAAACATCTTGAGTTGTTTCTTGATTATCCATCGAAAATCTTGGACATAGTTATTTGTAACCCTGTATGCAAAAGATGATATCGAGAAAGACAGCACAATTCTAGATACACTTTAGTTTCAGGCAAGAAAGAAAAGGTCAATAATCACTTTTGACCTTTTTCCTTTTCTCTTTCCCTGTTTTTAATATTTATCATGACTAATCCTGTTTGAAATCATGCCATCAGATAGAAGTGGCCGATCACTGTTTATATACAAGTCTTCTCCTCTAAGCTTCTTGTTAATTACGCTTGTTTATTTTCCTCCTCTATCTATTGAGAAAGATGGAACAGTCCTGTTTTTTAATTTTATATCAGACCATCTTGGTGAACCGTTGGCTTGGATAATCATGGGAATACCAGGTTTTTTTTTTTTGTATTTTCATTCACTTTTGCCAGTTTCATTTGTCTATTGAAGGGTTAACAGAGCAGTCTTCTGCACATAGTGCTTCATATTGATACTGATGTGGGTTTTTGCTTTAAATGTATATGCATTTAAAATGTTATGTGTGGTGTTGTTGTTTTTGTTGTTTTAGATTACATGTTGTTGGATGCACTCCTCTCTCTTCTAAATTCATTTTAAATACTTGTGTCGATGTTGCAAACTTTTGCACCATGCCTGTATTACTTATGTTACACTCCCTGGTAGGATGGAGCTACATTGGCCTTGAGGCGGCTCGTAGAGGAAGAAGCTCGTGATCTCAGTGGAGAAGCTTTTGCTCGTTTTATGGATCATCTATATGAACGTATTACTACATTTCTTGATAGTAATGAAGTTTCTGAAAATCTGGGAGCATTGAGGGCTATTGATGAGCTAATAGATGTCACCATCAGTGAAAATGCATCAAAAGTGGCAAAATTCTCCAATTACATGCGAGCTGTTTTTGAAACAAAGCGTGATCGTGAAATCTTGGTCCTTGCTAGTAAAGTTCTGGGTCACCTAGCTAGATCTGGCGGTGCAATGACTGCAGATGAAGTGGAACGTCAGGTGCGTAACATTGTGCTACTTCAGATTTCTCATTCTCTGACATCAGGATCTCAATTCTTTCGTGTTTTCAGGTAAAAGTTGCACTAGGATGGCTTCGTGGTGAAAGAATTGAGTATCGTTTCTTTGCTGCCGTCTTAATATTAAAGGTACGATTAGCATCTTCCTTCATGATTTGATGATGTATAAGCAGAAGCTTTGAAGCTGGGTTTTATTTCTTTCATCTTTATGTGATGGGGAAGCTTTGAGTTATATATAAATGTTATAGACTTGACTGCTAGCTTACAAACAAAAAGCTGGTGAACTTGTCATATAATGTTTTCCCGTTGCTTGAAGATAGGTCTTTCACCATTTGGTGGTCGTCTTCGGATTGTTCTGTCAATTCTTTTTTGTTCTGTTATTTTCCAGTTTCGGTGTTGTCTTATTCATTTTGTTAATGCTATTCATTCTCCATAAAAGTACAAGTATCTTGTGTAATTCTTTATGTTGGAGCAATTAGTTACTATTGAAACATTACATAACCGTAGTTACTAACCCAGGGGATGCTCAGTGGCTGTTTGGTGTATATGAACATAGAGCATTGAAATAATGTGAAACTTACGTCATTGAGCATTTTGAACACTTTAAGCTGGTGATTTTCATTACATAAATTTTAAGTTGGTAACTCTTTTTTGGATAAATCAGGATCTTTTTGTTGATAGGTTAAATCAAGATCTTTTCATTAGATATCACACTAATATTGTGGTAATATTATATAGCGATTTGACTTTAGACCTCAAAAAATTCATTTAAATATCCCAAAAGAGAGGAGTATTTTATTTTCACCGAAGATACAACTGAAATGAAGCCTTCTTTTTCTGATACAGTCTCTCCACAGTCCGCCCTTCAAAAATTCTACTGTTCTGTCCTCGCCAAATCATCCAAAAACTTTTCCACTGTCCAACTTGCCATTGTATCAGTCACTGTCTTAGAAAGTACCTAAGCTATCTCAAAATTGAATACAAAGTATTTACTATTAGAATCATATCCTAAAGATTAGCTAGTGTTTTTCTGCTATCGTGGAACGAAGAGTGAACTGGTTCATATTGTAGAAATATAGTTGTCATTCTTATATTACTTTAATAAACTTCTTTATGTTGTAGCTTGTCAAAAGAAATTCAAATAGCTAAACACACATTCAAGCTGCAATGTCATTTCAGTAAGCAATAGCCATAAATGATCAATTGGGAAGGTAACATGTCAATATTCAAATACACATACTTTGCTAGAGAGTAGGTTATTTAAACCAAATTCTGTCTTAATCAATTACTGAAAGCCAAGTATTATATGCCACTGAGATTTAATCTGTCAAGTAATACAGTTAAAGAAGTTATTATCCGTACACTATTCAATCATTTCTAGCTGCTAACTTTAAACAGCAGAGTCCCCATTAATTTTCAAGTGCCTATTTGGCAATCTGGAGTTTCTAAATGGGTCCAACCTTCCTGAATTTTCTTTTCATTGATAGGTAAAGATAATTTATTGTCAAGTTCCAGTAATTGTTCATTACAGATTGTGTAATGAACCAACTAAGTCAAGTATGGCATTCACATGATTTAAATATGCCATGTCACAGAAAAAATTAGCAAAAACATACATCTATGTTACAGATTAATTAAAATTCTCTTTCCCCCCAAACAAATCTATAATTTCTCTTTCTCGATATCACCCACCACATAGCAGCTGTTATTGAATTCCAGTTACTAAGTACTTGCTGATGCTGTTCCTGTTTCCATCTTTGTCTTGAATTTAGGAAATGGCGGAAAATGCTTCAACTGTTTTCAATGTTCATGTGCCGGACTTTGTGGAGGTTATTTGGGTTGCTCTGAAGGATCCAACATTGGCTGTTCGAGAGAAGGCTGTCGAGGCATTGCGTGCCTGCCTTCGCGTTATTGAAAAGCGCGAGACCCGATGGCGTGTTCAGTGGTATGTCTACTTCTCTCTCCTCCCTTATTGTTTTTCAGTAAAATGTCATTTTTATCAATATCTTATGAACGTTGTGGCAAATTTCATCTGCTCTAAAATTGGTGGTGCTGGCAGGTATTATAAGATGTTTGAGGCTACCCAAGATGGATTGACCAGAACTGCGCCTGTTCATAGTATACATGGCTCCCTTCTCGCAGTGGGAGAGCTGCTAAGGTTTGCTATCAAACTGTAATTTTTCATTTTAGGAAAATAATTGAGAGTTCCTTGTGCTGTTTTAAATTGCTATCATGGCTGTCTGATAATCTGGAGACTTAAAATCTTTGGTTATATCATGTAGGACCTAGGAGTCAGTCTACCTCAAGTCTGAGGCCACTTACATGTGTGTTTTAGGTGCAATCATCTACTACCTTCTTGTTCCCTTTTTGGAATAAAGCAAATAATTTTATAAATGAGGGAAAGAATTTCCATGTACAAGACTTATACCAAAAAGTGTGTACTACCTGCTTGTTCTTATTAGCCGTTGTATCTATAATGTATTTGTGGTCTGTAGCTTGACTACGATCTGTCGAGGTACCTCCTTTTTCAGTCCTTTTAATGAAGAAAGTATTGGGGTTTTCAGTCCTTTTCACAGTCCTCTGCAAAAAGTATTGGGTTTTGGCTGTTGCTGGTATTCCTCTTCTCAGTTATCATTAGTTGACTATGTATATGTACAGGATCTTCTGTTGAGCTATACTATGTGGTCAAGTTGTACAAGATATTATCTTGTTACTTTGCCATGGATTTCTCTGTTTGTACTTTAAACAAATTTGATGGGTATCATACCTTCAGAAACATGTGTGAGTTGGTGTTCTTCGTTTCAGTTTTATGATAGGCTGTGATTTTGTTTTGCTGGAATTAGTTTCACCTTTCTTCATTAAAGCCCACACTTTATTTGCGGTTGAGGCCCCAACAGACCTTAGAGCTTTTTTGCGCTTTTTGCCTTTGATAACACTGAAGGGTAGGTACTGAGGCGAGGAATAACACTGAAGGGTAGGTACTGAGGCGAGGAATGACTGCATAAAGAGGGTGGTGGTCAACTGGTTGAGTAAGCTATAGGAGGACAAATTTTTCTTTGCTGTATCGCCATGTATGCACTTATGCTAGTATGTTCCATGACTACTATAGTCTCAAGGATTTATTTGCTTATTATTTGAGTAAGTTGCCTTTGTCTCCTTCATAAACAATGTCAGATTACAGGCGCAAGTTGAATAATATGCTCAAGTCACATGATGTGGGAATTGGCCCCACTATTATCTGGATGTGGTATGATAAATGTTACCTGATGCATGCAGATTTCTTCATCAAAATGTGCAGGAATACAGGAGAGTTCATGATGTCAAGATACAGGGAGGTTGCGGAAATTGTTATAAGATACCTGGAGCACCGAGATCGTCTAGTTCGTCTCAGCATAACTTCTCTACTTCCTCGAATTGCCCATTTCCTGCGTGATCGATTTGTGACTAACTATTTAACGGTTTGTGACATTTGACTTCATTTTAATGATTCAAGCTGCTTTGGGTTAACTGGAAAATCTCGGTGATTGAGATTTACATCTTGTATCTTGACTGCTGTAACCTCAAGTTTGTTGATTTTGCTTC